CTTTTCATATACCCATCCATATACCTTTTCAATGTTGTAATTGCATCCACCTTCACCACTTCTTCTCGCAGTTCATTCCATACATGCACCATTCTCTGCATTAAAAAAGTTACCCGTCAGGTCCTCTTTAAATCCTTCCCCTCTCACCTTAAACTTACACCCTCTAGTTTTGGATGCCCCCATCCTAGGAAAAGGACTTTGGCTATTCACCCTATCCATGCCCCTCATGATTTTATAAACCTCTATAAGGTCACCCTTCAGTCTCCAAAGTTCCAGGGAAAAAAAGTCTCAGCGTATTCAGACTCTTTCTGTAGCTCAAACCCTCCAGTCCTGGTAACATTTTTGTAAACGTTTTCCCGCATCTTTTCAAGTTTAACAACATCCTTCCTATAGAAGGGCAACCAGAATTGTACACAGTATCCTAAAAGTGGCTCACCAATGTCCTGTACAACCACAACATGACATTCCAACTCCTACATTAAAGTTCTGACCAATGAAGGTAAGTGTGCCAAGCGTCTTCTCCACCACCACCACCTGTAACTCCACTTTCAAGGAACTATGCACTTCCATCCCTAGGTCTCGTTGTTCGGCAACACTCCCCAGTACCCTAACATTACGTGTATAAGTCCTGCCCCGGTTTGCCTTACCAAAATACAACACCTCACATTTATCTAAATTAAACTCCACATCTGCCATCTTTGGCCAATCTGATCAAGGTCCCATGGTACTCTGAGATGATCTTCACTGTGCACTACACCATTTATTTTGGTGTCAACTGTAAATTTACTAACTATTCATATAAATAACAAAAAACAGTGGGCCCAGCACTGATCCTTGTGGCACACCACTGGTCACAGGCCTCCAGTCCACAAAAACCCTCCACCACCACTCTCAGTCTCCTGCCTTCAAGCCAATTTTGTATCCAATTGGCTGACTCCCCTGGATCCCTTGTGATCTAACCTTACTAACCAGTCTACCACGCGGAACCTTGTCAAACACTTTCCTCACAAGCAGAAGCTTAGGGCATGGAGAGCAGATGGTGAGTCATCAGATGAGCCTTCTTGTCCATGTAGCTTTCAGTAATGTCGCATAGTTATTTTGTGCAGTTTAGATGGCCTCTGACTTCTAAGTAACTGCTGATTCATGGTCATGTGGTCAAATTACACAAGCTGCATTAGCTATTTCCTTATATAGGTATTTGCTCTTAAGCCTACTCTCTACTGCTTGTCCAAGCTTTTTTTTTAAAAATTGTGTGCCATGTTTCACAGTATTCCTTTCCTAGTATTTTCCCCTTTCATGCTCTTCCATCTTCCTTACCCTTATTCAGTTTGAATCTAGGTAATTGTTTAGTAAGGACCACCGGTTAGGGTTGGACTGTTGCAGAAACCACTACTGATAACACAGCACTTACTAGTCTTTTTCCATTATCTTCCTATAAGCATCTGATTCTCACGTTTAGGTTGGCAATGGGGAGGAATTTAATCACCAATAATAATATTTGGAATTCTTTACCCTCGAGAGCTGTGAGGTATTGAGTCATTAATTATATTCAGGGCTGAGACAGCCACATTCTTGATTTCAAGGAGTCTACTCATCTGGTCTGGCAACATCTGTGGAAAGAGAAACAAAAGTTAATATTTCAAATCAATGACCTTTCATCAGTTGAATTCTGATAAAAGATCATAACAAAAATATAAGAATTAGGACAGGAGTGCATTTCCCAATTTTTTTCTCAACACAGCTTCTTTGGACTCCTCAATAATGCATAAGTTAATTATGCAAAGGAAATGAAGCGAAAACATAGTAAGCCAAATAATTTACAAATAACAGAAGTTTAAAAATGTCATCACACACTAAAATATCATCCTGTAAAATCCAATCATGCCCCAATCAAGTCCCTTTTCTAACACATCGGTTTAACTTAACTGATGCTTCAATTTCTGGTAAAGAATCTGATAATCACTTACTTGAATCTTCATACAGCTGAGCTTAGACATCTTTATAGCTTCACATAACACCTTCAGGGTTTTAACAAACAGTTACAGTCTGTAAATTTCAAACTTAATTCCTTCCATAAAGGTAAACTGTTTCTTAACACTTCTGAAGTATCTCCCTTCTTCAGGAGAAACTGTTTTACACTTCCAGCTTCAAACAAGATTTCTGTCAAACTGAAATGAAACTAAAAGCTTTCTTCAAGCGACGGATGTTTCCCAGAAGCCAAAACATACTATTCCAGAACCTTCTAACAGAAGCCTAATGTACAACTGTTTACTTTCTTCACTTGTAAAACTCATCCAATTAAGAATGAAACCTGTTACTGTCCAGGAATTCTTTCTCTCATATTTGTAGAGAACAAGGTCAGCCAGGTGGATCTCATAAAATGAGTTCCCTGATTGGTGCTGTTAATCTGTTCCAATCAGGGAGCCCTGACCTATAGATATAAACAGGAGTGTCAGTTATCCTGTTCAGTCTGAGACCTGGCTCTGAGGAAGCTGGATCTGTAATTTGGTCTCTTCACATGTAAATAAAGGGTGACTTGTTGACTGGATACTGGCCTCTGTTGAGTTATTTCAGTGGCAACAAGAGAAAAGCACACTCCTGAAGAAATTCACTGGTAACAGTCGTCTTTGACTTAAGTATTTCTGCCATAATGCTGTTATTTGGGAAGTCTGACTCGTTTGATCCTGCCGTCAAAGACTAGGCCCAATATGTGGAAAGAATGTGTTATTTTTTCCAGGCAAATGACATTGGAGCAGATGAAAAGCAACGAGTAATTCTGCAGACAGCTTGAGGACCCACATTTTTTTTCAGTTATTAGGAGCCTAACTTTTCCTGAGGCATCAGATACTAAAATCTTTCAAGAGTTGATGAATTTAGTTAAGGATTATTATGACTCAAAGTCTCCTTTAATTCTGAGATGCTATCAATTTTATTCAGCAATTCGAGAACCAAGGGAATCCATATCGAGATCTATAACTAGGTTAAGACACTGGCAGAGGCATGTGACTTTGGTTTAACACTGCATGAGATGCTGAGAGACTACTTGGTATGTGGGATTAACAATGTAACCATGCAAAACCGTTCACTAGCTAAAGCCCAACTGAACTTCAAACAGGCACTACAACTGGCTTTGTCAATGGAAAATGCAGCAAGTGAGTTGCAGGGTATTCCAATGGAAGTGGACACCTTCACCATTCCGACTGGGGGACAGCACTTGAGTGAAGGCAATTGCATAGCCTCGCTCAGGACATAAATAGTGGGACTCTAGGTCAGCCCACAGCAAAACCCCAAAACAAAGCAAAGCCTCAGCCAAAAGGTTAAAACGTTTTTTTCAGGATCCGACAAGTCATTGTTGTTGCTGCCATTATGTGGACTTGAGATAGCGAAGAGACCCACTAGACCTAAACTGAATACAAGAACTCATTGGCTGGTATTCAGGATAGTGCACACCCTAGAAAGTCCACCTACATCTGGTTTGGAACAGTTAAATTGCTCAGCAACGTCCAAATCAGAATCAATCAAAATAAATATCCGGTTAAATGGTCACCCTGTTTTAGTGGAGGTCAATATAGGTGCAGCCATTTCAGTGATTGCAGAACCAGTCTTTAACAAAATTCACTCTGGATTCCGACCCTTAAGTTTGCGCAAGACGTCTGCTAGACTGAGAACCTATACTGGGGCACCCCTACAGATTAAGGGTACAACTTTGGTCACGGTCTCTTATGAGAAGCAATTGGTTTAGTTATCACTGACTGTAGTAAAAGCCCAAGTTTGGTGGGGTGAAATTGGTTGAGAATGATTCACCTATATTGGCTCAACATTTTGGATAAAAAGTGGCTGTCTGAATGAAGTCCTAATTAAATACCTGGAAGTTTTTCAGGAAGGTCTACCGATTATCAAAGGAGACAAGGCCAGTTTGCATGTTGACCAGAACGCAATTCCACAATTCTGCAAGGCCCGATCAGTATCATTTGCCTTACAGGCAAAAGTAGAAGCAGAATTCAGAAGACTGGAAAGCAAAGGAATCATCAAACCAATCCAGTTGCGAATAGGTCGCACCAGTCACATTGATTGCGAAAACCAATGTTTGCCTTTGTGTAGATTTTAAACAAACACTAAACAGTTTTTTGCCGCTAGATAAATACCCAATGCCTTGCATAGAAGATATATATGCAAAGCTGGCAGGGGGCTGTGCTCCACGAAGCTGGACATGAGCCATGCGTACTTGCAATTGCGGTTACATGAGGATTCCCAGACGTATGCTACAATTAATAACATATAGGGTTGTACCAATATATGAGACTGCCATTTGGCAAACTGTCAACTGTGCAATTTTTCAGTGGACAATGGAGAATATTTTATAAGCTTTACCCCAGGTCAACATTTAACTGGATGATGTGATAACAACAGGGCAGATCAATAAAGAGCACTTGGATAACCTGGACATAGTCCTTAGACATTTCTCCCAGGCAGAAGTAAGCCTTAGAAGGGAAAAATGTGTTCCAGGCACCACAAGTGACTATTTGAGCTACAGAGTCGACAAGGCTGGATTACATCTGTTGGAAGATAAAGCAAGGGCGATGAAAGATGCACTGGCTGATACTTGGGCTGGTGAATTATTACAGAAAATTCATATATAACCCGGCCTCCTTCCTGGTACCTTTGCATCAACTCTCAAAACAGGGTCAGCCTTAGAAATGGTCACGTAGCCAAGCCATGGCTTTCAGGGAACAGAAGAAACGGCTAACGTCCTCGAAGGTGTTGGCGCACTGTGCTCCCAAGCGAGATCCGGTATTGACAATGCGATGCCTCCCGGTACGGCAGCAGGGCGTCATTAGCTCACAGGTGGCTCAATGGAGAGGAATACCCACCCAATAGTGTATGCAGCCAGGACTTTGCAGGGCAATAAGTACGCTCAGACAGAGAAAGGAGGTTGGGTGATCATAGTTGGAGTGAGGAGGTTGTACTAATACCTTTGCTGACGTAAAGGGAAGTGTGGAAAAGTGAGGACTGGGGACGGGGTGTGTCCAAGTATCGTAGCGGGGCGCTCGCTCAGTGCTCCACGCTTCAAACCCGGTCACACTCAGCCCAGTCCTGTCATGGCAAGCGCAGCGGTGTCCTCGCTTCTTGCGGCGTTTTGGTTGCACCTGCTCCCGTATGAGCCTGCCTTCGGGTCTCTGGTCTCCATCACCGATCCGACTTTCATCCAGGAGTGCGTCGACCAGCACAACAAGTTTCGTAGGGAAGTGGTACCGCCCGCCAGCAACATGTTTGCGATGGTTGGTTGAATCCCCGCCTCAAAAACTTCGAACAGCCCCACACAAAATAAAAGTACAGCGGGCCGTGAGTGGAGATAGGTTCTGTCGGGGTTGTGGCCCAGGGGGGCGGGTGGTGGTGAGTAAAAAGTTTCTTACCGTCATTGGGTGTGGAAAGTGAGAGGACGGATGGTTTCCTTCCGACGGTGACCGTGAGGAACAGTTGGCGGCAAATGGCAAGGGAAGGTTCTGGAAGTAACGCGACCGTTGGATGGCCGGGGAGTTCAAATTTTACGTGCGCCGCGTGCCTCGTACTTCAATAATCGAATCTGTCCCAATCAAAAAAAAACAGAAAGAATGTTCAGAATTCATTTATAAACAAGTTCCCCGTTTCGCCGGTAACAGATTTCCCTTTTTCTCTGAGGCTAAAGAAACACCGGGTTCAAGTCTCTTGGGTGGGATTCGATCAGAGAAGGGACGCAGGAGATCATCTCGAGATCTCCTGAAGCTATATCCTTGCTCCACGATGCCACAGCCCGCATCGCACCGTCGGCAAAAGGAACCAGGTTCGGGATCCATCCCAGCCGGATGAACCGCGTGTCAGAGATAGTAGGAACTGCAGATGCTGGAGAATCTGAGATAACAAGGTGTAGAGCTGGATGAACGCAGCATCATAGGAGCAGGAAGGCTGACGTTTCGGGCCTAGACCCTTCATCTTGGCCTGCTGTGTTCATCCAGCTCTACACCTTGTTATCTCTGAACTCCATGTCAAACTGATTGGGATAGCTGGGTTCCTCAAAATGTCACTGCGGACACTTTGTTTGCCTCGTGAGCTGTGGTTAAGTGATGGCGCACGCTCCCGTTCCCATCCATCACATGGCTGACCAGGAATCTCTCCCGCTAAAAATTGGACTCAACCTGTCCTGGCCGTGTTATGAACACACCTTCGAGAGATAGCTTTGGTAGCCGTCACGATAGTAGAAGTAGAGATTCCCTTCGAGGTAACACAATTATGGATCCGTTCTAGTCAGGGGGAGGCAAAATTTCATGATGGGAAGAGTTTAGAAAAGCCAGGAGACCAATGAAATCAGAAGGTGATGAAGTTAGTAAAATAGGTGGGAATAGGATCACTCCGCAGGAGCATTTTAGTTTTGTAATTTTCTTTTTCCCCCCCCCGTTTAGACGTGGGATGAAGCACTTGCTAAATCTTCAAGAGCATGGTCAAGAAAGTGCCTATTCAAGCATAATCCATACCTGCAAAAGAAGGGAACAGTGCACCCCACCTTCTTTCCTGTAGGAGAAAACATTTATATTTCCACAGGGAGTTTCAATGCCAAGAATGCTATTAAACGATGGTATGATGAAGTGGCTGACTATGATTACAGTACAAACAGCTGTAAACCAAAACGACAGTGTGGACATTACACGCAGGTAAATATACATGCTATTTGGAGATATTCTGTTCCTTTTAATCATCTGATGAAATTTTGTAAATAGTTATGATTTCAAGTGTCTTTTAGCATGCTTTTATATAAATTATGCAAGGTCAGAAATCACACGACACCAGGTTATTGTCCAACAGGTGTATTTGAAAACACAAGCTTTCGGAGTCTCAGTCCTTCTTCAGGTGTTAGTGAGAGACGTTGTATCAGACACAGAATTTATAAGTAAAAGATCAAAGGTTCACACCATTGATGGGGATGTACTAAACAAACCTAAGATGCTGTTAAATCTTTGATAAGTTAGAAGGTTTTAATTGATTAATAGGTATATGTAAATCGGACAATGAAGGCCATCAGTTTAACTGGGACAAAGTAACTATAGTAGCCCAAGCCAAACATAGACACGCATGGGAATTCCTAGAGTCATGGTTCTCAACCCATAAGGCAATCAACAAACATATAGAATTGGACCCCATATACAAATCCAAGACAAAACCAGAAATGACACTACTCACCATAACAGACAGGACAGTAGTATAAATTCCAAGCGGAGTAGAACAACATCGCTTCACCAGAGGCCTCACTGATGATGTTACCTAGCATGGTGATAAAACATCTGAACGAAAACAAGCCAGCTCGGCAAGCACGTCAACAACCTCACCCACAATCCAAGCTACAAATCTTTGCTAAAACTTTAAAGAGGAGTCGAATATTATTAAAAGAGAGAAAGCTGCAAAACGCAGATTTGGGAGTCCTTGACTATGAATCACAAAAAGCTAGTATCCAAGTTCATTGGGTAATAGGAAAGACAAATGGAATGCTGGCCTTTATTTCAAAGAGGATGGAAAATAAAAGTAGGGAGGTTTTGCTAAAACTATACAGACCACAGCTAGAATACTGTGAACAGTTTTGGGGCCCTTACCTAAGGAAAGTTATACTGGCACAGGAAGCAGTCCAGTAAAAGTTCACTAGACTGATATCAAGTGCGGAGGGGACCGTCTTATGAGGAGAACTTCAGTAGATTGGGCTTGTATTGTTGAAATATAGAAAAATGACCTTATTGGAACATACAAGATTCTTAGAGGATTTAAGGTAGATGTGGAAAAGCTTTTCCCCTTATGGAAGGATCGAAGACCAGAGAGCATAAACTCAGAATAAGGGGTTGCACATTTAAGACAGATTAGGAGGAATTTCATCTCTTATAGGGTTGTGACTCTGTAGAATCCTTTACCACAATGGGCTGTTGAGGCTGGGTCATTAAGTATATTCAAGGCTGAGATAGACAGGTTATGGGGAAAAGGCAGAAGAGTGAAATTGATGATTATCAGATCAACTTATTGAATGGCAGAGCAGCCTAAATGGGCTGAATGGCCTACTTTTGCTCCTGTTTCCTATGTCATATATGTCTAATTAACTGCTATGACCTTCAGGATTAGCTTTTACTGATTCTGACCAATATATAACAAGATTTTGAGGTGTTTGAATCCATGAGAATTGGTTTCTTCTTGAATTTGTGAGGGAAATATCCTTACATTTCCCCTTATTAAAATCTTAAATTCAGCTCCTGAGATGTGTATAAACATTGCATCCTTAATATTAGATCAACACTGAACTATCTTCATAATGACTGTGGCGATGGTAGCCCAGTGTTTATGACAGCTAACACATAAGTTGTATATGCATATCCTGTCATAGCACTGGATGAGATGATAATCAAATGCCACCAATGTTAGTGAAAACTGATGTGGTTTGATAAGGGCCTGTCACCTTGCACAACCTATGCCAGTATTGTTCCTATGCTAAAAGCATTTACAAAATGAATACAATGAACATAGTAATTGCTATATACTGCACTGCACCTTAAATGTCCGATAATTATGAAACAATTGATAATAGACAAAATATGCCTTGTGATGATGTAATGGTGGTATGCTACTTAAATGCATATTAGAAGTCATTTTACAATGTATAGTCCATTCATAAACTCGAGAATATTTGCAAAAATTGCTGACAAGAGTTTAATTGGGGGCCCTAATTACTTCTGCAAATGCCTTTGAGGACCATAGAAATAACATATGTGAACTGTATAAGTAGTGCCAGTTAACTACACTATTAATTTCTTGTTTGTTTCCTTATTTACTGTTGGAACGGAAACAGTATTGACATGGGAGGTATAGTGCTACTTTCCTTGATATTCATAATAAAGTGACTTTCTCTTTACTTACCTAGAATTATTGGACTTTTCACCAAAAAAAAACAAAAATCAGAGTTTTTAAATCAGCAAGAAATAATTGACATTAAAGATCTTTGAATATTTCTTCCTTTATGTAAGAAATTTCAGAAATAAGAACCAACAGTTAAGTTGTCACTGTCCTTTCACATGATGAAATGTGATAGCCATAATTTTAGGAAATGTATCTAACTAGTTGATAGGGCTGTGACACAGTAGTAGTGTCCATACCTCTGGGTCAAGAGGTCCGATTTCAAGTCCCACCTGCTCCAGAGGTGTAAAAGACTACTTCTGAACAGGCTGATGAGAAAATACCCATCTAACTCATTGATCTCCTTTGGCGTTATACATTGACAGTCAAGAACAAGTATAGTTTTCAGGTGTGATCTCGAGATGTTGATTTTGGACTGGGGTGGACAAAGTCAGAAGTATCACGACACCTGGTTAGTCCAACAGGTTTATTTAAATTCATAAGCTTTCGTAGCACTGCTCCTTCATCAGCTGAAGTGGAGGGAAGTGTACAGGCACAGAACATGTAGCTGGAGAGATATGGAAAGATAATTCCAAGTAATTAAGAGTGCCAGCAGATAAGTCCAAGTAGTGTGAGTGGAGTGGCAACAGGCTGAATAACACTTCTTTGCAGGTGATCAAAAGTGTCAAACGGTATGAGTACAGTGTCAACAGCTGAATAATAACTGAAGGGTTGACCTATGAACCGATTAATTATGGCAAAGAGATAATTACAAATCAAAAGTAAGTTGGTGCTAGAGACAAACCAAATGGATGGAATTACATGAGTACTGTTAGAGTCGCATGACAAGGGTCTAACCAAGGTAACAAGTAATCAAAAGCTGTACAAACTAATTAAGGTAGAGAGATAATAACAAGTAATCAAGGTAACAGTGTCAAAACAGAACGGTAAGGAAGATGTTACAAACACAGACAGTATGGTGGGGTTACATGTAGTGCAACATGAACCCAAGATCACAGTTAAGGCCATCCTCATGAGTACGGAACTTGGCTATCAATTTCTGCTTGGTGATTCTGCATTGCCGTGTAACTCGAAGGCCACTTTGGAGGACGCTTACCCAAAGATCGGAGGCTGAATATCCTTAACCACTGAAGTGTTCCCCAACTGGGAGGGGACACTCCTGCCTGGTGATCATTGACCAATGTCCATTCATCTGTTGTCGTAGTGTCTGCACGGTCTGACTGATGTACTATGCATGGGGACATCCTTTCCTACAATGTATGAGGTAGACAATGTTGGCCAAGTTGCATGAGTACATACCGTGTACTTCGTGGGTGGTATTCCCATATGTGATGGTAGTATCCAAGTCGATCTGACATGTCTTGGAGAGGTTGCCATGGCAGGGTTGTATGGTGTTGTGATTGCTGTTCTCTTGAAGGCTGGGTAGCTTGATACAAGCAATGGTCTGTTTGAGGTTAGGCAGCTGTTTGAAGGTGAGTAATCGAGGTGTAGGGATGGCCTTGGTGAGATGTTCGACGTCATCAATGACATGCTGAAGGCTGCAAAGGATATGGCTTAGTTTCTCCACTCCAGGGAAGTAATGGACAATGAAGGGTACTCTATAGGTCATGTCCCATGTCTGTCTTTTGAGGAGGTTGTTGTGGTTTTTCACTGTGGCATGTTGGAACTGTCGATTGAGTTGAGCGTCATATCTCGTTCTTATGAGGGTGTCTTTCAGCATGCGTAGGGGTCCGTCACATTCCTCTTCATCCAAGCAGATCGTGTGTGTATGCCGGGTTGGTCTGTAGAGGATGACTTCTTTAACATGTTCAGGCTGGAAGCTAGAGAAGTGAAGCAACATGAGGTTATCAGTGGGTTTGCAGTAGAGTGAAGTACTGAGGTGTCTGTCCTTGATGGAGATGAGTGTGTCTGAGAATGAAATCGATTTTGATGAGTAGTCCGCGGTAGGTCTGATGGTGGGATAAACCTTGCTGATATTGTCATATAGTCATTTCAGTGATTCTTTGCCTTGAGTCCGAAGGAGGAAAATGTTGATGTAATTGGTGTATAGCGTTGGTTGGAGATTCTGTGCGGCGAAGAAGTCTTGCTCGAACTTGTGCGTGAAAATGTTGGTATATTGGGGTGCAGATTTGGTTCACATGGCTGTTCCATGTTTTTGGATGAAAAGCAGGTTGTTGAAGGTGAAGATGTGGTCGAAGATGAAGTGGATAAGTTATAGGATGGTGGCTGGAAATTGCCAGTTGTTGGTGTTGAATACTGAGGCTCTTGCAGCAATGCTGTCATTGTGGGGGATGCTGGTGTAGAAGAGTCGAAACATCCATCATGACGAGGAATGTGCTTGGTTCAACTGGTCCGTGGGTACTGAGTTTTTGTAAGAAGTCTGTAGTAATGCAACAGAAGCTGGGGGTTCCTTGTATGATGGGTTTCAAAATTCCCTCGATATAGCCAGAGAGGTTCTCGCACAGAGTCCACTTGCTTGATACAATGGGATGTGTGGAATGTGTATCTTCAGAAGGCAGTAAAAGTGTCCTATGAAAGACGTACATGGGATGAGAGCACAGAGGATATTCTGAAAGTCTGGATCAAAAGTCTTGATCGGTTGTGTTGACCATTCTTTGGTCAGATCGGCAGGTAGTTGTCTGTAGTGTTACTGGTTGTTCAGTTGTCTGTATTCCTCTGCCTGCTGCAAGACCGATGGGGTCCATTTTGGTAGTGGCGCAGAAATTGAGCCCTCAGCTGAGAACTTCGATTTCATCTGGTTAAAGGA